ATAGAAAATTACAAGATAGATCACCATTTAAATATTGTAGGAATTTCTGTTTGCTCTCCGGAGTCTTAATTTGTTGTTGCCTACTTTTTACGTGTTAAGTTCTAAACGTATGCGTGTTCTTGTCACTGTACTACGGTTATCATTGCTTTTAGGTTCGCAATAAATTCTAGCATTTTAAATTTTTTGATTGTTGGATCGATCATTATATTTTTGAATCAATCAATCAATCAGTCAATCAATCAATCAATCAGCTTATAAAGCGCTATTTCCGCAATGTTCAACAGCGCTCCTCAATGAATTTTGAAAACAGATGGGTCTTGAGATCCGCTCTGAACTTCGCAAGTGATGGAGAAGTAGTCAGAGAAGTAGGTAGAGAGTTCTAGAGAAAAGGACCAGAAAAAGCAAAAGCAGATTTGGCAAAAGACTGTTTAACACGAGTTAAGAAAAAGCGAGAAGAAGAAGACGATCGTAAACCGGGGCGTTTATGTTCAATTAATATATCTGATAAATACTTAGAAAATAATTTAGATTGAGACTCATCATTGCAACAATAATAATATTCACTCGCGATGCCTAACTTTTAGCTATTGATCGATTTAGTATTGCGATAAGCACACTTGGCATAATCTGCTATCTGCTACTGCGTCTGGTTGTTTTTCGTGTTGTTAAGTTAATTTTTATTTTTTACAAAAGTATCTATGATTATCTATTTAACCTAAACATGACGCAAAATTATGAAATAATTGCTTGATAAATTTACATTGCCTAGCGATTGGAAAGTTTTTTTTATAAACGTGCAATACACTCGCGCAGGTTTGTAGATTCTACCAATATTCTATTTGTCCTACGCCTTACAACTCGGTTATGCTTTTAATAAATTTGGGGGCTTATATATATATATATATATATATATATATATATATATATATATATATATATATAATGAGAATTTTTACAACTACTATCTGTAATAGAAAGTGAAAGTCTTTTGGAAACTTTCTATCATTCATCATACAAATTATTAATAATTTATATTATACATGTGTCCATCTTACTAACGATAACCTACGATGTCATTTTGAGGGCCATCTGTTTGGATCGATCAATCAGACAATCACAGTAATGTCGTTAGCTTGACGGAAAATAAAACTCAAAAAAGTATAAAAAAAACCAGTTCGTTTAAAACTTTAAATCATTTGTTGGCTAAAAATAGCATCAGGTAGTTGTGGAGGGATGGACCGATTAAAATGAAGACAAGTTGCACCAGGCATGATATTTTCGATATTTTTTAATCTTTATTCTAATTTTCCATTCTAATTTGGCTGAATGAGGGCCTGTTGGTTTAAGGCACCTAATCTTATTTCACAGTGCGTGCAGTACGGGAAAGGGATCCCCACCTATCAAATGTTTTGTGTATGATGCGTCGTCGTTTAGCATGTATTCGTATATGTTGTTTGTATTTTGTTGGTACCGTTGGGTTTAAATATTTAAAATATTAAAAAAATTTAAACATTATCTTTTTTGAAAAGACTCAGCGAGGAGCATTGTCTTGTCTCAGTAGGCACGCATTCGAAACACCCAGAGTGGCGTGACGAAAGCCTCGGCTGGGTGAGGTAAAATTTGGCAATAAGAATGCTCAAGAAACTCGCGGAGTGATCAGCATGTTCATGATGAGATATGAGGTCAGGTAGATATATTAGGAATTTTAATAATAGTGTTTTGAAGGTTAAGGCTGCAATTTTGAAAATGATTTAGAGACGAGAAACCAAGGCAGGATTGGAAAAAGAATGGAATAGCTGAAACGAGAAAGTTTACGGAAGATCAGTTCGACAGTTTATTTTGAATATGTCATTAACAGGAGAGACCTAGGTAGTGAACAGGGTTGGACCTGTAACGAGCATTGGAGACTCTAGCGTCAATCAAACTAACAAAAGTAGTACGATCTAGATACTGTAATAGATTAATTTAAAAATTTGCACAATAATGTACAAGTTTCAATCTAAATTATTTTCTAAGTTGGTACCTATCGGATATTTAATTAAACCGAAACGATCGTTTACGATCGTCTTCTCGTTCCCACTTGTTTTTAACTCCTGTTGTACACTCTTAAATAAATTTTTTTTGCTTTTTTGGACCTATTTCTATAACTCTCTACCTTTTTTTCTAACTACTTTTCAATCGTTTATAAAAAGTAGAGCAGATCTCAAGACCATTCTGTTTGCAAAATTCATTGAGGGACGCTGTTGATTATCGCAGAAATGGCTCTTTAGAAATCAATCAATCAATCAATCAATTCAATCAATCAATTCAATCAATCAATTAGCTTGCAAAGCGCTATTTCCGCGGTGTTCAACAGCGCTCCTCATTGAATTTGGCAAACCAATGAGTCTTGAAACCCGGTCTGAACTTCGTAAGTGATGGAAAAGTAGTCAGAGAAATAGGAAAAAAGTTCCAGAGAAAAGGGCCAAAAAAGGCAAGGTTAAGCAAAAGAGTGTTTAGCACGAGTTAAGAAGAAGCGAGAATAAGAAGACGATCGTAAACCGGGGCATTTAGGTTCAATTAATGTATCTGATAAGTAGGACTTAGGTAATAATTTAAACTGAGACTTATACATATATGTGCAAATTTTAAAAATTATTCTAAATTTTATAGGTAGCTAATGCAAGAGTACATGATATGGAGATATATGAGAAAAAAAAGGGGCACGAGAAACTAGACGATCAGCAGAGTTAAAAGCTTAAAGGGTAGAGTATAGAATCAGGTAGGCCATAGTAGAGCAAGTTAAAATAATCAATACTAGATAAGATTAACGAAGTAACAGAAAGGAGAAGAGAAGGATCATCAAGAAAAGTAAAAAGTTTTTTTTATTCTACGTAGATGAAAATGAAAGTAAGAACTTCTAGCAACACTATTAATCTGAGAAGAAAGAGACATAATAGAATAAAAGATAATGCCTAGACTACGAAACTTGTGAAAAACATCGAGTTCTATAATTAGGTAAGGTAATAGGAGGAATAGTAATAGAGTGTTTAGATTTATTAAAAATAATTAATTCAAATTTAGAATGATTAAGTTTAAGACACATAGCGTCAGACCAAGCGATAATTGAAGAAAAACATAGAGATAGATTATGAAGAACACTATTGAGATTAGATAGAGGAAAAAAAGTATAAATATAAGAATCATCAGCATAAGGTTGACTAGTGAAAGAAAAGTTATTAATAATACGAGGTAGTTCAGAGGTGTAGAATATAAATAGAAAAGGGCCAAGGGTAGAACCCTGAGGTACCACGAAAGTAAAAGTAGAGTTAGAAGTAGAATTATTGAGAACAACAGAAGAAAAACGATTACAGAGATAAGAAGAAAATCAAGATAGACAAGAATCAGTAATATTAAAAAAAAGATCTACCAGCCTCAAGGGAATAGTATGATCAACAGTATCAAAAGCAGAAGAAAAGTCAAGAGCAAGAAGAATAGTATGATTACTATTGTAAGAGTAAGATTAATATTGTAAGAGTAAGATTACTATTGTAAGAGTAAAATTACTATTGATTGAACAGACCTTTTTTAATCTATTTTTATTTTGTATTTTCCTGAGTCAGTCACTTGTTTGAAAGAACAAATGTCTTGGCCCGAAAGATATAAAATATATAACATAAAGTCGCCATTCCTTTCTTTGTAATACTAGGTAATGAAGAAATGGCGACTTCGGTGTTGTCTACGTTTTTTTTCAGTCCGCCAGGCGGTCAGAGTCCAAACAAAATTGTTCAGACTCCTAAGTATTTTTCAAGTCTAACTCAAAAATAATTTTGAGAATTGGTTGTAAAAATGCTATGATATGACATAAGTGCTTCCATGTCAACGTTCAGACCAATCACTTCATTTCACCTCCTATTGGTAATTCGATGAGTTATTTAGTGAATCAATCGTCCAACTAAATATAGGATTAGCCGTTCATAATATCTGAAATAACGTGCAAAGAAATAGAAACCAAAACGTCTTAGCAGTGTCGGAGTTGAATGAAAAATATCCGACTCCAACTCCGGACTCCTCAAAAAATTCCGACTCGGGCAAAAACTTCTGACTCCGACTTCGGGCCCCTGCTTCTTAAAAAAAATTTTAACTTTTGCATCATAATTTTACCTTTTTATCACTAGTAAATAGAAAATACTTAAAAAAACAGTTAACTCTAGTCAAAGTATTTGTTTTTTAAGTAAAATTACTGTATTTTATGTTTTAGAACATACTGAATAAATTTTCAACTTCCGGATCATAATTTCATCACTACTGAAAAGAAAATAATTTAAAAAATCAGTCAATGTAATTGTTTTTTTTAATAAAATTATTATATTTTTATGTTTTAAAACTAAATGAAAAAAATGTCATTTTATTAACATTAATTGGCATTTATTTTCTTTATTAAAGATAATTACCTATTGCTACACACATTTATTTTCCAAAAAACACTATCTTAAGAAAAATGTCAGAAAAAAAACAATTTAAAAAAAAATTACCTATTACGCTAATGACCGTTTAACAGCACATATGCTAATTATTCCTTAGCATGCTAGTGGCACATATGTTAATGACTTTTTAGCGCTATATGCTAATTACTACGCGATGCGCTTTAATAACGTAATGGCACTATGGATATATATCCACGAATGGCACAAATTAATTATTCAATATATATAGATGCACCAAAGCATATGCACCATAGTAAACACAAATTTTTTGATACACACATCTCTGTTTTCAACGCGGCTTTTTAAAAGTAAGTTTGCTTTAGTTTTATCTTAAATTGTTTTAAATTAATAATCTCTAAATTATGTGGTAAACGATTTCTGAGTTTTTCTTCTTCCACAGATAACAAACATTATGCGAAAATTGATTTTTAGCCTATAAAATTGATACAATTTATATTTTTATAACGAAAGATTCATTCATGACTTCAGTTCAGAGTTCAGTATTTATAATTTTTTATAATTGTAGTAATAGTGATGGTGACCATGTGTGAACTGAAGAGATTGATAGATTCAACAATCAAAGAAACTTTGGTAATTAAAATTTTGTCAAATTTTAAAACAAGTCTAACAAAGTCAGACCTGGTTAAAAACTAAATACTCTAATGGCATTAGAGTCTAATGCTAATCATGAGACTACTAAACTAAACTTTACTAAACAAACTAAGTGAATTATAAAGCACTTTTGACTTTTCTGCCCCACTCTAATATTTGATTTGAAAAATATGATTATAACTCTGATGATTAAATATGATTATATAAATCTGATTATAACTTCAATCTCATTTTAATTTTACTTTATTATAAAAATCATTTGATAACAAACTTTGCTTTACTTTACTTTACAGTTTACACAGATAATTAATAAATTGATTCATATTAAAAACACATCAAGTTAATTTATTTTATATTATAGAAGTTTTTTCATTCTTCCATATCCAATATTAGCAATTTCTTTTACAATTGAAATGGTAGCAAGACTAACCAAACGATCTTGACACATCTGAGACCTCGAATATGATTTTATAACTTTTTCCGGCACTAGCAACTGTAACTGGTAACATTAGATTAGAAGAGTCTGAAGAGTTATCGAAACGTTATGGAATACTTCAACAAATTTTATTGAATAAATATATTGCAAAACAAGTTTCCATAACTTATACCTTTTATTTTGTTCCACGGTTCCCATCCGTTAATATCCGATTCGCCATCAATTGTTAGCGCTTATTGTAAGTCCTTCCAGTACTTTAATAATTTGTCATCCTTGTCATTCTTTAAATTCATTCCATTTATATTGAATAGAAACCCAAAAAACTCATCATGTTTTAATAAGTTGAGTAAATCCATCATTTTCAGCTTGAATTAACATGTCTAATATTTGTCTGTAAAAAAGATACTCTAAACTTATGTTCAGGTGATACTATCGGTTTATTATTGCCTTCATATGAAAATTGTCAGTTTTTTAATTTACTAAGTAATGTTTAAAAATTGAATGTTTATACTTATGTGAATGATTTATTTCTAAAAATGAAATAATTTGTAATTTTGCATTCAATTCTTCAGCAGGCTAACTTCCTTCATTGAGTCGACCCGTCAGTGTGCAATCCCTTCTTTAAACATTGATATGCTGTCATCGCCACTGCTCTCATCACCATCATCATTACCAACGCCATCATCATCTAAATCTGCATCATCATTTCAAGGAAAAATGAGACTGCCCTCCAAATCATCTCAGACATCATTATCAATTCTTGAAAAGGAAAATTATTCATCATCATCATCATCATTGCCATCATCATCGACAACGCCTTCATCATCATCAACATCTTTATTGTCGTCCTTAGCTAATCTAACCTCGCCTGAAACAAGCAACAATAATCAGAGATTGTCTTTTGTGGCCGCTTTGTCCTCTCACAACAACATCAAAAACTCAACAACTGCTGCTGAGAAAAAGGACGATAATGATGTTAGAGCACTTTTTCCTGATGATGATGATGATGATGACTGGGAAGGCTTGGATGGAGAGAAGGATGAATCTCTGAATGCGGCTGGAATGCAACTGAAGAAATTGCTTAAAAAAAATAATGTAGAAGGTGAAAAAATAAGTTGGATTAAGAATAATAATACCAGCGGAAACGATGTTGAAAAAGTTGATTTCACTAAAAAACAAAGAATTGCACACAAACCATCAACTACATCCACAATTTCATCAACAATTTCCTCCTCTTCTTTACAGCCTAAATTGTCAGCAGCGAAAGGTTTCTTGATCGTTTTCCATTATAATGTTGTTGTACCTTTGAAGATCATTTATTTTCTTTCGGCTTTTTTAATACAACTGCACCTGATGTTGTCGTGTTTCACTATACTGCCGATTAAGGAATGTAACAAAAGTGGCCATGTAGATGTGGCTTATTTTATATTTCAATAGTAATTCAACACATGCAAGTGTAACGCACGAATGCCTTGTTAAAAATTCCTTTTTATTTTTTTACTGCTTGGAACAATTTCTGTTGAGACTAGCATCTGATAAGCAATGCTGCAGATTTTCTTGAAAGCATTTTGTTGCTGGTGAGTTTTTACCAGGCAACATACAAAGTAGTTTCTGATGTTATTTTTTAACTCACCAACCTGCTGTAGTAATTATATTATTATTAATATATTATAATAATTATTGTTATAGTTATTATTATTGCTTTCTTACAGTTAACATAAAACTGCATTAGATAACATGTTCTAATTTTTGTAACATTGTTTTTTGAATACATAGCATCATCTGCAACAGTATCGAAAGATTCATCTATGTGTATAACTTCATTGATGGGAATTCGAAGCAATCCAGAAATAACTTCTAGCTACACAGCTGATCACTGCTCAAAGTTAAGGGCAACTAATGAAAGAGAAAGTACAAGTTTTGTTAATGAACAATTTTCTGGAATTAGAATTGTGTTAGTTTTCATTCATTTCATATAGTCAAGTGGTTCGTTGAATGCGATCTGTTCAGACAAGTGCCATTTTAATTGAAATTCGTTTGAATGGCTCGGTAATTTACAGACTGTTTTTTTTAAATTAATAATATTTGGACAGGTGAACAATGTGAAAATGAGATTTAATGATTTTAACGACCATCATCACAGCAATCCTCTTGTGCCAGCCGACCAAATGCGTTTGTTGATGAACAGCAGGAGCATGATCAGGATGTCGACATTGAGATCGAAGGTGGGTTCAGACCAAATGAAGATGGATTGGGTCACCATTGGCGTCTTAATCAGCAAATCAGATCCAAAAATCTCTGCTAAGGTTATTTTCTCCTCTGCTTGATTAATTGACTTGATGAGCTGCCAAGCGAGAACTCACTTGTACACTCTTATGTCAACATCGAGTTTTTATTCTAAATATCTGAAATATTAACTGGAGCAGTTTGAGAATCTAATTTAACACATGGTGCTTGTTTTTAAATAGATGGATTTTGTGGATGTTTTGCTCATAATTAACCTACTTTTTTCTCTTATTTTATTACTGTTTTTTGTTCTTTCTTATAATTTATTATAAGAAAGAACATTTTTATTTTTATGGTAATGTTCTTTCCATGTTCATCCCATGGTTTGTCTCACTGCCCTATTTGATGTAGTAATGTTTCATAAATTGTATAATTTATTGTTGATCCTAACTTATCAGTTAATTTTGTTCTACCCTCCACTCATTGCTTCATAAATTTTCTGCCAGGGACAAAAATTTAGCATATGGAAATTGAGTGATCTGGCCGATTGTGATCAGGCGCCCATCTGCATGTTCCTCTTTAGAGATGTGAATGATGACCTCTCAAAAATCATGGTTGGCACAGTCTTGGGCTTCCTTAATCCATCAATTATGAAGAACAACGACAAGGTCAGCAGTTGTTTTGCCTGTTACAATTTCAACAATGCTGATTACTTATGTCAATTAAAGATCAGCTTGTTATCGTTACAGAACTGTATTTGAACATCAGTTTATCACAAAAATAATTTGACATTGCTTTGGTTCAACTGTACAGAGCAAGAATTTCAATGACATCAGTTTGACTGTTGACAATGCTAAGAAGATTCTGCCATTGGGTATGTTTGCTTTCAGTTCTATTTACTTCTCTAACTCATTTCTGCTATCAAATAAATATGCAATGCAGTATTTGCAATAATAAGTTTTTTACCATATAAAACATCATACATTCGTTGAAGTTGTCAGAAAAATAAATTTTCATATTAATCTCAATTTCAGTTGACAATTTATAAGTTAAAATATAAAAGTTAGAAATAAATAAAATGAATTGAAATGTAAATTGAGACAAACTAATTATATTTTAATTCTATAAAAAATGTTATCAAATGTATTTAATCAAAAATCAATTTTGAACAATTTGTTCACGAAGGCCAGAGCAAGGATTTTGGAATATGCAAGGGATTGACCAAAGCTGGAAACACCTGCACCAATTTCATAAACAAGTTGGTTAAACATGAATTTTTTTCAATTCACAAATAGTTTGTAGCGACCTTAAGTCAGCAATGTTTCTTCACTGCCATTATTGATATTTTGCAAATATATAGAGTATGTATTGAACAATGTATATATGTGTTTTTAAATATAAGTAGTGAATGTATTAGCACTGCTTATATATTGTCCAGTTAGCCAAATCTACTGCATTGAAAACCACCATTTCTTGGTTTTAATGGAAGTTGTTTATTAATATCAATGTTCTATTTAATTGATGGTCAAACTTGTTAGAGATCTCATGTTCATTTTCAAGTTTCTATGTTCTCATTGAATGATTTCATTTAAGAAATCAGGGTGACTACTGCTCGTTCCATGTCCAAAAAGCATACAAGGCTCACTCTGCCAAGAGATCTGAATTACAAAATGGGTTTGTGTCATTTAATTATAAGTTATTTTGAGGTTTGCTTATATCAAGAGTTCATCTTCAAAAGAGTTTGTAGCTTTATTTTGTTTACAATTTTTTTTGTTTGTGAAGTTTCAGTGGTGTTATACCAAAACTGCAGAAAGAAGCTGCAAAGTTGAAAGCGAGAGGAAGCTATGAAGGCGGTGCTCACTATTCCTTCAATGACGATGTCTTTACTACCAGGCTGGTGCAAGTTTCTTGTAACTTTGCTGCTGTTGATTTGATGTTAATTTTTAATGCGCTGTTGTTGATTTCACAATTTTATAATCAAAATGCGACTTATAATTATTTAATAATTTACCCAATAAAGAAATTTATCTAGACACGTATTCAACACAGATTAATTCTTAAGAATGACATTTCTTTTGAATATGCATTATTTAAATTAATGTTATGTTTTTGTTATTCCATTTCAGACCTCTCTCTAGAAACACATCTAACATTTCTCTCAAAAGCCTGCTGGATCACGCAGCTCAACAAAATTCCTTTCTTGCAAGGCAGGCTGGTGTTAGTGGCACAAAAGTTAAAAATCAAGTCAGCACTTTGATGTTACATGATTTGGTACCAAATGTTAGCGAACAGAAAAAAAGTGATCTAAATGTTGTTGCTGAGGAAAATCTCAAAAAGAAGAAAGAAGATGCCGTGTTGTTAGTTGTTATTGGCAAAATTTTTTTATTCTCGGTTTTAATGATTTATTGCAACAAAAATAAATTTCTTCAGTCACGATCTGTTAATTGTTCCAACCGTTGGAGCCATGAATTTTGTCCAACACCTCAAGAACAATGACCCTTCTAACCAAGCAGCATCTTCCCCATCGACGTCCAAATCAACTAAAGATGGCGTTGCAGATAAAACTGTCTTGTCTGCAAAGCAAGCATTACTGAAACTTAAAAATCTAAAAACCAGCAACAACTACAGTGACGAAATGAACAATTCGTTGTCGACAGTTCCTAAACTTGGTCGTAATTTGGGTAGCAACATGCTGCTCAACTTGGAGGCTGGCCTAGAAAAAAATGGAGATGATGTCAGCTCAAAAACGAAGTCATCAGAAGAGAAGGCCAAGGTTTTCATTCATCTCAAATATTTTGCATTCTCTAAATCCAGATAATCTTGAAATGAATATTCTCTCTACCAAATATTTCATATTTCTATTATTAAAATAATTAAAACTATTATTTTTATATATAATATTATTATATATATATACGTCCTACCTCGGAAAACTGGGTCTCTGGACGCTAAACGAACATTGATTGATTGGTTGATTATTATATATATATTTTTATATATAATATATTTTTATATATTAAAATTCTACTATACAATTTATTTATTGCCAAAAACATTTGCTATCAAATTTTTATATCCATGCAAAAATTGTTCAAATCAAAATATGTTTCAAGCTGGTTGTAAACTGAAACAATATGTGCAAGATTTTTCACTTGTTTATAATACTCATATTTTCTCCACATATTTCATCAAATTTACAAGGAGGCAAGTTGAAGAATCATTCTTATTTTCAGTTGGTTATTATGTTAAATTTATTAATCCGTCATGCTTAACAAAGCTTAACAAAAAGAAAATCGATGTTTTCAGTATCGTAGAATTAATATAATGTTTTTATGTTGTAAGTTATGTCCAGTTCTATTCAATGACTCCATGGCTTATTATCAATACGTTGCTCGCCTGGTCGTATACAACATCATAACTTTCAACCATTCATACTTGAGTTATATATCTCTTCATTTCATGTCTCATTAAGGATATTTGCTATGAATTGTGATCTAATATTCAGGCTGTAGCATAGAAAATTGTTTTAAATATATAAAGTTGTAGACTGTAGATCACACATCAGACAGGTGAAGTTGGTTATGTTTGCATTTTACTTACAAAAGTAGTAATGCCGAGCAAACATTTTCATGCCAAAACTGAGTGTATCTTAAATTACACATTCGCTCAAGCAATCATATACTAAAGTGCAATTGTATTTTCATTTGTTAACATTATGAACATAATGGATGAAAACTATTTGAAACAGTTGGACGCGATTGAAAGGATAAAACAGATGGGTGGACTGAAAAAGTCCAACCCGAACAGTGTGAGGAGAGACAGAGGTTCATTGGACTTCCAAGAAAGGATCAAAATGAAGCTGCATTGTGAAAGCCAAAGACATGCTGGTTGTTATAATTGGGTGTTGATGGGACTGGCGTGACGTTTTACAATGATGTTGATTAATTGGGAGAGTGGTGTGGATAGAAATGCTATAATGATTTGATGTATTTGATATATTGAAGTTTAAAAGGATTAGTCATTTTTTTCTTAGCTTAGAAGAAAATGAATGTATGATTGTTTCAGTGATTTTAAATGTTCCTGACGTTACTGTTATTGTTTATGGGAGCAACTATTTTTTCATGAAACACAAATTTATAGATACAATTGGAAAAAAGAAAAATGCATCCAGCAATGATGGTCCTCCAATGAAAAAATCTCGACTGTCTAACAGCTCAGATCTCAATGCCGATGATTTGGAAAAAGTGATCAATTCTAAATCCAAATATTCTGCTTTAGTGGATATTGTAAGTCATATCTTTTTGTAGCAATGCTATTTGTTCTCGAATTGATATAGTGATGATTTTTTAGGTTTTCCAATGATAAGCTCATCATTATTATTGAAAAATTATCCTTTAGTATCTTCATTTTTTAAAATGATGCTATAAATTCGGTTTTGTGTATTGTATATACATGCAAAAATCAATATTGAAATAATTTAGCAACATTAAGAATAATCAGATTATAGAAAACTTGAAAATCTCAAAAGGTTGGGGAAAATTAAATACAAAAGAAAAAATTATTTTCTTGTCCACATTTAATCGCAAATAGAAGAGCAATTCGTTTAATTCCATCATCAAAATTTTTCATTGATTTGTAGATATTTCTCCACAGCTGCATGCATCATTCTCACACTTCTAATAATTCTAATAATAACATTCTAATAATTAACAAAAACGCATCATCAGCAACAAGAAATGAAGCAGAACGAATATTTTAATGCAATGGAAAAGACTGAAAAAATGGAGCAGAAAATGATCAACATAATGCAAATTGAAGTCAGAGCCGTTTCGTGCAAACAGGTCATCTGTCATTTCTTTTCATTTTTTTTTTCATGGCACAACATTAGTAATTATCTCGTCTGCATATATATTTTGTTCATCATGATTACATATTTCATCAAATTTTCATTGTGCTACTTCTCGGATTGAACAATCTTTGATTGTTTGGTAAAAATATATCAAAAATATAGCGCAAAGAATGTTTTATGTACACTTTACTAAGAAAATGTAGATTAATTATTTTGTCATATTTGTAAACATAAATTATAATGATTGGTTTCAATGCTGCCCACATGAAACTCGAAGAATTGTTTTTTATTAGGTGCATGATTTGGTAATATTTAAATACGTGGATGCACTCTACTCCATGTGCTCCCAATGTTCGTTTTTTATCTTTGAGATATGCAAATATATGAGTTTTTATTTTAGAATAATTTAGTCAAAGAATAACAAAATATTTTGACAGCCATTGAATTGAATATCGATAAGCTTATATCACAAACTTATAACTTGATTCTACACTTTACAGTGTAAGTACACAGCGTTGACCCCGTCAGAACTTTGCAAGTCAGAAAACCATCAGCTTCTCTTCCACAAGGCTATCAAAAGGTTTTTCCAGTGCACCGCCTGTAAACAGAGATGTTACTCATTGGATCGTTTGCCTCTGAGAGCATGCAGGTATGTGGATGGTTGTCAAGGGATGGTTGTATTCACACTGGTATTAATGCATTGAGATAATCATTCTTTTCATTTGGCACTTGGTTGGTTTCTCACAACCAGAAAATAAGTATTTGCACTTTTTATTAAATGAAATCTAGCAAACCGGAGCTATGAAAGTAGGTAACCCGGGTTTGCTCTTGTGATTCTAGGGCCAAGTTGGTTGTGGATGAACCATGAAATAATGATTATGATCAGGTGACTGTAATCGTTACACTACATTATTACTTTATTATGGTGGTCAAAGATTAGTTACATTAGTTTCAACTTTAGAAAAATCATGCACAATAATTATATATATTTTTTATTTATTTCCTCTGTCGGTTGTCTCTATCTGAAGAGACCAAAATGAAAAATGTCCTGTCACCATCCGTTTTTGTCTTTCGCGATCTCTTCTAGTGTTATTCTAGTTCATCCAGTAGTTTTCCCGTGTATTGATAGCCCAGCTTTTTCCAAATCTCGACTAAGACACTCATTCCATCTCGTTTTAAGTCTGCCTTTTTATCTTTTCCCCTGTATTTCCAGATTTTTTTAGGTGTTCTGAATTTCTCCACCCTCATCATACGTCTTGCCTACTTTATTCTTCTCTTCTTTATAACATCACTAAAATTCATTTGTCCTGTTCTTTTCCTGATTTCCTCATCTGTGATATAATCCTTGTAGCCAATTTGCATCATTCTTCTGATACACATATTTTTGCAGGCTTCCAACTTTTTTTCCATGCTTCTCGTTAATGCCGTTATGACCGTGACATTGCCATGTCTGAACTTTACCCGGATTTGGATTATTCTCTCATTCACGAAATTCACATCCGTTGCCGTTTTAACCAGCTTGGTTTCTATTGCTAAGGATACTCCCTTCTCATGTTTATTTCCAATATCTGGTCCGCAGTATTAGAATATATATCCATGTGACGTCGTCTTACCACTTCTCGTCCAATGTGATTCACTGATCCCGCATACTGCGGATAATTGCATTTCTAACCAATATATATATGTGTGTGTGTGTGTGTGTGTGTGTGTGTGTGTGTGTGATTGTGTATAATGCGAATCATGTGTCGCCCAACATAGACTCCTTGTGGCAGACCTGGTTGTCGAACTGTCAAAACATAAGTCTAAACAAATGCCTCGGAGAATCAAAACGTGGAAGCTGAAAAGCAATATTCATCAAGAAAAATTTCAACAGATTGTCACCACACAGTTAGACCACCAATCGCAAGCCAGTACAGATTGGAGTACATACAAAACAGTTTTGATAAACGCTGCAACTACAGTTTGTGGGAAAACTGGTACAAAACGTCAGCATGAACGTGACACTTGGTGGTGGAATGACAGTGTACAAAATGCAATAGCTGAAAAGAAAGTTGCATACAAGCAATGGCAAAAATCAAAGTCTGTTGATGACCATAAAATTTTCCGTGAGAAGAACAACCATGCAAGACGTCAAGTTGCACTGGCTCGGACAGATCAGTGCAGAGAGTGGCTCACTAAAAGCAAAGGTGAACAAATGAAATCTCTAAATCGTATAGCAAAACAAGCAAAGCGTACGAAAAAAGACATAGTTGGTGCCTCATGTATCAAAAATGAGATGGTTCTTGAACAAGATGAGATCAAGCTACAGTGGAGAGAATACTTCAACCGTCTGTTAAACGAAACAAATCCCATCAGTTTCCGATTCCAGACATCACTATAGAGGAGCTTACAGAAGCTCTGAAAGCTATGAAGGATGGAAAGGCAGCAGAGCCCTCTGGACTCACAAATGACATTATCAAAGCATCTGGTGCTGCAGGTATCCCAACGTTACTACAACTTTGCCGTGAAATCTGGAGAAATTACTAAATGCCGACTGAGTGGAACTATAGCATGACAGTCCCGCTATACAAAGGCAAAGGTGATCCATTGAACTGTTCATCATATCAGGGTATACGTCTGTTAGAACACTCCCTGAAAATTGTCGAGAAAATCATTGAGAGAAGATTAACGTCGTGCATCACAATCGGAAATTATCAATTTGGTTTCCCAGCGGGGAAATCAACAATTGATGCAATTCAAATCCTTCGGCAACTGCAAGAGAAGTACCTCGCAAAGCATCAACAACTATCACACATTTTTGTAGACCTTGAAAAAGCATTTGATCGAGTTCCCCGTGAAGCAATCAGGTGGAGTCTACGTCGACAACTCATTCCAGAATATCTTGCTCGACTTGTGATGGAAATGTATACGAATACTAAGACTCTTGTCAGCACAACGGTTGGAAACACAGATGCATTTGACATCGGCGTTGGAGTTCACCAAGGCTCGATTCTCAGTCCACTGTTAATTATAACTGTGATGGAAGAAATCACAAAACCGATACGCACTGATGACATTTGGAATCTAATATATGCTGATGATATCGTTTTAACAGCCACGTCTGAGCAGAATGCAGCACAGATGTTTGAAGATTGGAACACTAGACTCGCCGATCATGGATTCAAAGTCAACATCAGCAAAACCAAAGCAATGAACACTGGTGAACCCATCCAATCCACATCTACTGGACGATGGCCCTGTTCAGTTTGTAAAGCTGGTGTAGGTAACAATTCAATCAAGTGTCAGCAGTGTAACCAGTGGTGTCACAAACGTTGTTCAAAAATAATTGGTACTTTATCTAAAGTGTCCAATTTTGTTTGTCCTGCTTGCATCAATCCACAACAACAAATTTGAAATAGCAATGTTTTTGAAGCCGTTAAGGTAGAGAAAGTCACATCGTTTCAATATCTAGGGGATGTTCTGGATTGTACTGGAACAACTGAAGCTGCCGTTCGAGCACGCATACGTGCAGCCTGGAATAAATGGCATCTCCTTGCCTCTATATTGATGCGGCGTGACATCCCACTACCACTACGATCAAGACTTTATAAATCTGTGATACGTCCGGTGTTGTTATATGGTGCAGAAACATGGCCAATGACAACCAAACTGGCACAACAACTTCAACGAACCGACATGAAAATGCTCCGATGGATGCAACGAATTAGTCTGAAGGACCACATCAAATCTACCGAAATCCTGCGCCGTGCTGGTTTAGATGATATAAAAGACGAATGCCGGCAACACCGTCTGCGGTGGTTTGGTCATGTCAAACGAAGGGGAAACAGTGCCATAACTTCTCTTGCAGATGTTGAAGTACCTGGCACACGTCCCAAAGGCCGTCCAAAGAAGTCCTGGTCGCAAACAATCGAGCAAGACATGAAAGCTCTAAATTTAAATGAAATGGATACAACTGATCGTCTAATTTGGCGCAAAAAGTTGATGGCAAAGAGAACAACATCCTACCTCGGGAAACCGGGTCTCTGGACGAAAAACGAAGATTGATTGATTGATATGTGTGTGTGTGTGTGTGTGTGTGTGTGTGTGTCTGTGTGTGTGTGTCTGTGTGTGTGTGTGTCTGTAGAAAATTTGTAAATTATCAAAATTAACAATAGTTTATCAATTGTGGCTTAATAATCTTTCATGGAATTCAAATATTTTTTATAAAGCAACTGCGGGGCTGAATCGTTTGAAAGGACCGGCATGATGAACGTTAGTGCATCTATATGTTAAATTATTTTTCAATTTCATTACAAATCGGTTGATGCTAAAAATGCTGATGCTATTATTAATCCTCTATGATTCTTATTTTGCAATATTATGGGTGTCTGTTATGCTTAATTAGGTTTAAGTAGGTATTGTTAATTATATTCTTATTTTGGTTTATAATAATTTTCATACAATAAAGTTCAAAGTTAAAACTTTATTCACTTGTGTTTTCCTTTGTTCCTCACAGTTTTTGTTTTATTGCTGTATTATATACAATTTTTCATTGTTTCTAACTCATTTGGAATTTTTATGCCTTTTTCATCAGCGACATCTGGGTAGCTCACTAGGTTTTTAATCAGTTTTCAAACTCTAATACTTTAATTCACTAATTTATAAAAAGTTTGATGTTACAAAAAATATTACAAATTTTTGGCTTAGACTTTATTCGTTCTAAATAATTATTGTTATTGCAGTTCTCAAAATTTGCTCACATTTTAAAAAGTTTTGATACAAAATTTTTGTTCTAAGTAATCAAAATATTTTTTATTTTTTTGGCAAATAAACAATCTACACAAAAATTTATATAGCGTCATTTATCTTTTCTATTATTGTATTGCATTATTTTGAATTTTTATGCTAATATATTTTATAGGAAAAGAAAGGACCAAAACTAGCGCATGAGAATCTCATACTCAGAGGAGAAGAAATGAAATACATAAATTCTTAATATTTACTGCATGTTTTTAATTTTTCATTGTTTTATATGTTTTTATGGATATAGAAACTATTTTGATATCTATAGTTATTTTAAAAGTTTTCATTGTTTCAGGCAAAATATAATTTATTTCTATTTTATATCCAATTTAAATATTTATTGAAACTAAATTTTATAATGAGCGTTTTAAAATGAACGACGACAACCAATCTATGCCAGGAGCCACTGATGACCGATCGCACCATCTTGCTTTCAAGAATTCGCTCGTTTCATTCATTTGAATATGATGACCTTAATTAACTGGTATTTGTTGGGAAGTAAAATCAGTTAATGCGTAGTATAAAAACACGTGTGTAGTTTCCATACAGTGACTGGAATACATTGGAATCATTACGATCTAGTAAGTTTTTCTGGCACCAACATGACCGTGGGAAAATGAAAAAGTCCAAGTCTTTTCGCCTACTTAACTACTTAATATTGTCTAAAATATCCGGAAACATTGTTATGAATTTTTATCCTCTTATAGCGTACTTGATAGAATAGAGTTTACTTGGTGAAAATTTTCTTGCTATTGCCACGAGTGAGAAAGATGAGCTATGAAGGAAAAGGACTGCAAACGAGAAACGAACCGCAGACAACAAGAAGGGAATGATTCTTTAAGAAACCAACTGCAAGTTAAATGAACCAAACGGAGACTGCAAAAACAAAGATTTCTTATAAGAAAGCAAACTAAAATGAACGGACCACGAACTACTGCTGCGGGAACTGCTAAAGAGCACTTAAAAAAGCTGCAAACACAGACAACTGCGGAGGGCGAAATAGTTGCAGAAGACGAGGACGCCAGACGTTCAGAGGACGCCAGGACCCAGAAATAAAATTCAACCGTGAACTATCAGTAAGCGCAAAGACTTTATGGTAACAATATATATATATATATATATATATATATATATTATATATGTTGGTAATAGACCATAATTTTTACAATATTCTATAAATTTTATAAAGGTAAAAAGCTTTATTGTTCTATCATGCATAAAATAAACGAAAACTTTGATTTTGAACTCAAGAAACTTGAGAATAAAATCATCACTTTATTTTATTTTATCATAAAATTATTTTTCTACGATCATTCGTTAGAAAAATCTAAAAGTTAAACAGGAAGTTAACTAACGCCGAACATGCTGTAATTTTCATCAATAATTATATATATATATATATATATGTATGTATAACATTGGCGGATCTAGAAGGGGGCGCATACGCGCACACACACACACACATATGTATATATATATATATAATATTCTATAAATTCTACCGAATGTTTGGAGTTAATATGTTTGTAGTTCGTTTTTTCAATTTTTCTCACTAAAGTTTTTTGTGAACGTTTAGTTTATTAAAATTCAAAATAAACTTATTTTCCAAATTCATGCTGCAAATAAGGCCATATTTCGATTCCGAATGAATCGTCATCAGTGCTTTCTGCTATTTATATAGGGAAATATTGACTTTGTCAAAATGAATTTAGATGGAGATTGACTCTGTCAAAGTGAACTTAGATGGAAATTAGGTGTCAGGTTTCTTTATTGGCTGGTCATCTTCTTTGGTCTCCTTTTTTTCATCGATAGCATCATATTCATCTTTGTCACAATTTACAATGCTAGTTTTTATTACTTCTTTGTTTTCGTTGTTGGTTAGGCGCCGGGTTGGAAGTGAGGTTGTCATTTTTTGTTGTATATTTATTTTTGGTTTATTGATGTCGATTAGGACTGCTTCTGCAATTTTAAGATGCGTGTATTGCTGTTCTGGTATATTACTTTGGTGTTACCGTAGAGGACTTCACGGCTAATAGTGATTGAGTGTGTTGAGTCCAAATGAGATTTGATAGCACCACTCTGTTTATGCATCGTAAGCCTTCTAGTCAATGAGGTAGTAGTAATCCCGATATATGAGTCATGTTGACGTGCACAGCCGTCAAAGGGGCAATTAAATTCATATATTACGTGATTACGCCTTAGCACAGAGTTATCTCTAGGACTACAGTTGTTTTTCAGTATTAGGTGAGACTTCTTTTTATTGTTGTAATATATTCGGAGTTTAACTTTATTATTTGGGTTGGTTGGTGTGACATTTTTATTGATGTTATGTTTAAGAATAGCTTCATCTACTTTGTATGCAGTTGACATGTGATTTCTGTAAAACAAGATGATGTCGTTATCTTAATTGTTGGTACTATGAAGGTTATTGTTGTGTAGTTATTTGCCTTTAACAATCTTTTCAATAGAATAAGTCTTATATCCATTGTTTACAAGCAGGTTAGTGACTCTTTTTAATTCGGCGTCGCGGTTTTCAATATCGGAAAAGTGTGTGAATGTCCGCTTTACAAATGATTTTATTGTGCTGTCTTTAAATTGTTCGGTACATTCACTTTGTCTATTTAAACAAATTCCTGTATTTGTTTCTTTGACATAGACCGCAGTCTTGAATCGTTTTTCGCCACGGGTGACCAACAAATCGAGGAAAGGTAAATGTTCTTTTTCAATTTCAATGGTAAATCTTAGTTTTGATTTGTTTAAGGTACCAAGAAGTTGGGTGATTTGTTCAGGATCGTTATAGAAGACAAAGATATCATCAACGTATCTAGCGTAGATATTTGGTTTTAAATTTGCATTGTTTTTGAAGGTCTCATTCTAAAAACTGGCAAATAGGACGCCAAGTGGGGAACCCATAGCGACACCATCGATTTGCTTGTAAAGTTTGCCTGTGGGGCTGTGGAATGGTGCTTCGGTAGTGCAAATTTGAAGAAGGGACTTCAGTTGTGCTTTCGGTATGCTCAATGGAACTATATCTGAGTGGTAAACGGTGTTGATAATTATGTCAATTGTATCATGAATTGGTATATTTGTGTATAGTGATTCAACACCCAGAGAGGCAATAAATTTGGATGGTTTATTAATGCTGAGGAGATTAATAAACTCACGGGAAGATTGTAGTGTGTAATTGTTTGGAATATATGGAATTTTGAAAACAGATGGGTCTTGAGATCCGCTCTGAACTTCGCAAGTGATGGAAAAGTAGTCAGAGAAGTAGGTAGAGAGTTCCAGAGAAAAGGACCAGAAAAAGCAAAAGCAGATTTGGCAAAAGAGTGTTTAACACGAGTTAAGAAAAAGCGAGAAAAAGAAGACGATCGTAAACCGGGGCGTTTAGGTTCAATTAATATATCTGATAAATACTTAGGAAATAATTTATATTGAGACTTATACATGAACGTGCAAATTTAAAAAATTATTCTATATTTTATAGGTAGCCAGTGCAAGAGAACAAGATATGGAGATATATGAGAAAAGAAAGGGGCACGAGCAACTAGACGAGCAGCAGAGTTAAAAGCTTTACTTAAAGGATAGAGTATAGAGTCAGGAAGACCATAGTAGAGCGAGTTAAAATAATCAATCCTAGATAAGACTAACGAAGTAACAAGAAGGAGAAGAGTAGGATCATCAAGAAAAGGCAAAAGTTTTTTTATTCAACGTAGATGAAAGTAAGAGCTTCTAGCAACACTATTAATCTGAGAAGAGAGAGACATAGAAGAATCAAAGGTAAAACCTAGACTACGAAACTTATGAGAGACATCAAGAGTTTTAGATTCAAGTAAGATAATAGGAGGAATAGTAATAGAGTGTTTAGATTTATTAAAACAAATTAATTTAAACTTAGAAGGATTAAGTTTAAGACACATAGAGCCAGACCAAGCGATAATTGAAGAAAGACATAGAGATGAATTATGAAAAATACTATTGAGATTAGATGGAGGAAAAGAAGTATAAATGTAAGAATCATCAGCATATAGTTGACTAGAGAAAGAAAAGTTATTAATAATACGAGGTAGTTCAGAAGTATAGAGTATAAATAGAAGAGGGCCAAGGATAGAACCCTGAAGTACCCCGAAAGTAAGAGTAGAGGAGTTAGAAGTAGAATTATTGAGAACAACAGAAGAAAAACGATTACAGAGATAAGAAGAAAACCAAAAACAAGAATCAGTAATATTAAAAGAAAGATGCAGCACTCTCAAGAGAATAGTATGGTCAACAGTATCAAAAGCTGAGGAAAAGTCAAGAGCAAGAAGAAGAGTAAGATTACTATTGTCACTAGAGAGAAGGATATCATTGTGTATTTTAAGTAAAGAAGTTTCAGTACTGTGAGCAGTAAACCAAATAAACAATAAACCAAAAATAAATATACAACAAAAAATGACAACCTCACTTCCAACCCGGCGCTTTAGTTAAAAAAATTGAAAAAACGAACTACAAACATATTAACGCCAAACATTCGGTAGAATTTATAAAATATTGTAAAAATTAGGGTCTATTTTCAACTTATATATAATTATATATATATATATATATATATATATATATATATATATATATATGTATATATGTATATATATGGTTCTTAATTTTTTTATGATCCTATGTATATGTATAAGTAGGGAAATTTTATGTATATGGTATTTTGCGGTTATGTATCAGTTCAATCAATCAGTTCGCATATTCGTACACCAGGAAAAAGATAATAGATACGCATAAATATTATGCTAATGCATGTAATAAAACAATTAAAAATAATTAAAATGAATAAAATAAAAAAAATGAATAAATATTTATCAATGAACTATAAAAATGTGCGAGGGTGCTTTCTGGGGCTGGTGTAAGTATTATAAGAATATGGTATATATGGCTTGCTGCGTAATGTTGAATTTGGCAGCTCTCCCCATCGATATAATATATATCTAGGATTAAATATATCTATGATTATTCTAATTATGTGTTTACGATTATATATCCATGGCCCTCCCTACAACATAAAAAGACCGAAAATTTTAAGTCCGTACATATTAATGTGTTTGCTGAACCTACAAATTCTATGGCTTTCATATTGTTTTATTTTATATCGTCGTAGTGTCGCTCCTGGGTTGTTGCTTCTGTCATTTCTTGATAGCTACGTTTCGTTGATTTTAATATTAGTATCGCAAATTACATTTGATAACTTTATGTATTATATTTTGTATAATATTATTTATTTGGAGCAAATTTTTACACTTCAATCAAATCGAAAGAAAAAAAATGTCCAGACGAGGTCCCACTCGAACTTTTGATGAGGATGATGATAGGTGATTTGAAAAGTTTATTTTATTCATTTTAATTAATCCGCTTTTTACGTTATAAATAATTGTAAAATATGATTGTGTAAAGATAAACAGATATTAATAATAATCACCCAAAATCTGAATGCAAATGATATGTAATGTTTGTGGTTTCATAATTAAAAAAGTTTATAATAATATTTTATAATTATATTATAAGTATATAAAGTTTATTTTATAAACTATTACTATGATAAATAATAAATAACTTAATTTTAATAATTACTCAAGCAATTAATCCTCAACAAGATTAATTCATTTGATTAATCATTACTTTTTTTTTACAATTTGCTTTGCTATTTTGTTTTGAAATCATTTATCTCTAAAAGTTAAAATTATTCATTCATGGTGAAAAAATTTTTAATTTTATGTGTATGTCACAGTAAAACCTCTCAGTTTATTTAAAAATAATATCTAAAAACTTGTAATTAAATGTAATTTAAAAAACTTGAGAGGTTAATAAACCCTGGTAACAAAATTTTAACCTTAATATCAGGAATTGTTTAGGCAAGTTTGATATTTAGTTGATCATTTGCTGTAATAAGAATAAATATCAGCACTAATTTTGTATGGTAAAACGTGAGATAGGTACTCCTATGGTATCGTCCATGTTTACAAACAATCATAATGTACTTTTAATAAATTAACTCCGCCCATTTTGAATTATCTAGCGCCTGATTAATTATGATCTAAATGATCTAAAAAACTTACCTAACTTGTATTAAATTACTTACCTAAGAATTAACTTGTATTGAATTATTTTCAATTTGATATAAATAAATAATCAAGCGCTAGATAATTCAGAATGGGCGGAGTTAATTTATTAAAAGTACATTATGATTGTTTGTAAACATGGCTGATACCATAGGAGTACCTATCTCACATTTTACCATTTTGTATTACATTAAGTTCTATTCAACAACTTCAAGCTTTTGTAACTTAACATTTTGAATGGCACCCATCTGTTTGAACTTTTATTTTAGTTTTTTTAATTTCATTATTTGTTGTTTTTCAATTTTAGTTGAATGTTTTTTATTCAGCTAGTTGATTAATTTATCTGAATTAGAAAAAAGTTAATATAATTATGCTTTAATTTTTTAGTGAGGAAGAATTGTTGGATGACTTTTCCATTAATGCATTTACATGTGACCAGGTTAATTTTTTTATTCATAAGAGTTATAATCAATCATAATTCAGTGATAAACTTTCATTTTATAAAGGACATTGATAGATACGACGAGGATGAACTTTTAGGGGCATCTGAAGATGAAAGTTTTGAAAAAAGCACTAAAGTTGAGGAGGACCATAATCCCATTCAAAGTTCTTCTCAATTAACAAAAAAAATCAATGAAAATAGAGAGGTTGCTGCAGTGGAAAATGAAAACTTGAACAAAGATGAACTTGTGAGGTGGTATGCTGATCATCCTGAATTTTTGTTTGTTAATGTTTTTTTTCCAATGTTTGTGGCTAACTTTATTTATTTCTTTATTTTTGAGGTTTAAGTTAAAGAAATTCTAGTTTTTCTTAAAAACAAGCAAATATAAATAAAATAAAATTTGTTGTTTAATGAAAAATGACCTTTTGAGATAAACAGAAACTATACGCTATAACAAATGTGACAACTGAAACTAACGATTAAAAGTAATTGAATAAAAATTCTGGTAAGACAAGAGCAGAATTATATATTTAAAATAAATTTCTTCTGCATGCTCCCACGTTTGCACATGCAAACACATGAGCACAAATACATACATATATACACACACACACGGGCGCACGCGCACACACTTTGAAAGATAGCGCTAGCAGGAGTATGTCAGTAACTATATGCCAATGGTGGCGTGATGGTGTAAGGTGCCTGGCATTGTTGATGCAGTGCTCGTGTTCGAGTGTAAAGAGATCCCTGTCTATCAACTGCAAAAGTGTGATGCGTTGATTCACTTGTATTTATACACTAGGTGTTGTTGTAAAAAACAATCTCTGAGGAATATCTAAGAGAGAATTATAAAAAAAAGTTTTCAGAAGGCATAACGTTGGACTAATGGTCAATCTAAGAACATACAATGATTTGGTGGTCCGATTTTGATACATGGAGTGGAGTTATGGGCATTGACGAGAATCATAAGTTTAGTTAGATGCTTGCGAGAACATGTGGATCAGAAGAATGATGGAAATTGGTTACAGGGATCCATATCACGAATGAGGAGTTCAGGAAAAGTACAAGACAGATGATTTTATCTCTTTCACATTGGTAGAGGCAGGTACTGCAGCCTTAAAAAATGTGTAGATATGCTATTCTCAATGACTCTAAAATCTTTCAACCAATATGCTTCGAAACCTTTGGACCAACCGACAACAATACCCATCTGTTTTTAAAAGAACTTATTAATAAAACTATCTTAATATCGGAAAACCCTTTGGATAAAAACTACATTAAAGAATATAAATCAGTTCTGCTCTAAAAAATTTAAATCCTTTTTATATACTTGATGGGGCTTTAAATAACCTTTTTGTGCGTGACCCAATAACATAGAGGATAGCAGAACCTGACAATGATTATAGCTCCATCAATGGCTAGTTAGTCAACGAAGGGTCATATATGTATATATATATATATATATATATATATATATATATATATATATATATATATAACAACACACGTTTAGACGACATTTTCCCCGAGATCGGGAGTTGCCGTTTGGCTACCTATGATGAAACCGAAATACCCCTCGACGCCATTCACATCTGTCACTCGCCTCAGTATCACGCAACCCCGCTTTCACTCTGTCCTTCTCCACCTGCTCTATCCATGCCTATCGCGGACGACCCCTTCCTATCACTCCTTCAACCTCGAACTCCAACGCTCGTCTAATCCCGACCCTTTCATTTCTTCTCAACACATGTCCATACCACCACAATCTCGATCTCCTTATCAATGTTACAATGTCTTGTATAATTGATCAGATTGCATGCAAATGGGCAAATATATATATATATATTTTTATATATATATATATATATATATATATATATATATATATATATAAGTTGGTAATAGACCATAATTTTTACAATATTCTATAAATTCTACCGAATGTTAAAAAACGAACTACAAACATATTAACACCAAACATTCGATAGAATTTATAGAATATTGTAAAAATATATATATATAGTCTACATTTATTTGCGCATGTGCATGTAATCTGATCAATTATAATGAACTAAAAATGATTAATTTAAAAGTAATGCTAATATAATTTATAGTAGTTTAGTTTATATGAGAATATATAAACACAGTGTTTAAAGATTGTTAATAATAAAATACTGATAGATAAATGAATAAATTTATAGCTCCGGATGCTATAAAGATGATGCAAGTAAATGTGATATTCATCATGATAAATCAAAATCTCAGGTTAGTTGTTTTTGAACAAAATTAATAAACTCCATAATTTGCTTATTTTGTTAATTCTTAATTTCTCCAAATATTAATATGCTACATGATCTCGGTCTTCATCTTGTTACATTTTGCAAACTGGCTAATTTAAATAAAAAATTTTGTGAGAGTACAGGTTATACAGGTTGCAGATACTGGAAATACAAATGTATTTGCAAGTGAATTTCCAAGAGAATCAGGTTTAAAAACTGAAGACTCTAGAGAGCTGAATGTTAAATATGAAAATGATGATATACAGAACAGTTATATTAGTGAGGATGACTATAAACATAATGATGAGGATGATGAAGAAGAGGAAGACGATGACGATGACGGTGATCAAATGCATAAGAGAGATAGGTTCAAATCAGAAAGAGATTCATTCAAATTGCTTCCAAAATTTTCTGGCCCAGACAGGAGTAATAAAAAATTGCCAATTCCTGAAACACTAGGTAGTACAATGCATTTAATGATTGCCTTTTTTAAAAATTCATGAATTCGTATTTCTCAAACTTCACTGTTTAGATTTTTTTTTAAATATTGGAATGTAATTTTTTTTAAATTTTAGTAATTTGTTGCTTTACTACTAATGTATCGTGAATCACTTATAGCAACCAATTGTCTTTTTACGAAACTCTTCTCTCATATATTAAAATCTCATTTCTGTGTTAAAATTTGAACTTCATAATTGAGCCAAGATTCATAATTGAGCTGAGATTCGAAGCAACTAGTTGAACTTCATGGGTGTCGACTCATAAACGGGTTTAGTTGCTACAATATTTTAAAAATCCAATGGTCAATTAGTAAATTATTTTATGGATTTTAGTTCTCTGCAATAACGTTCAAACTTTTGAAATTTGTCTTGATATTTATTCATATAAGTGTTATTATTATTGTTGTTATTATTATTTAAACTATTATTATTAATATTATTATTATTGTTGTCGCAAATTTTGTGTGGTATGGTATGTGATTATTCCACCATAAGTGGCTGTTGAAATAAATTATGCTTGCAAAAGTTCTTGAAGTGACAATTATGCCAAGGTGAATAATCTAAAATTTTTCTATATCTTTTTTTACTGTTTCAACAGTAGGTATAAAGATAAAGCCATCAATAATTTTTACAAAAAAATATTTAAGAATAAAACTGAGTGCTGAATAAAATCACTTAACATTTTCTATTGTTCTATGTAATCTTCAAACTTAGAGATAAGCAAGGAAGATCAGAATGAAATTAATAAATTCATGAATCCTAAAGCCAATGTCTCAAACAAGTATAGCAGCAACTATAGTAACAACAGTGTTCGACATCAGCAGCAAGCACAACACAGAATGAGATCCGCTGGTTTCAGAACATTTGGTCCACAATTTGCTCAGCAAAACATAATGTCCCATCGTTTCAATTTTGTAAGAGGACATATGAACAGGACTCCCCTAATCATGAACAGCACAGGCAGCAATATTAACATGATGAAGGATAATGCAATTGTAAAAAGTTTAACCAATGCAGCTGTCAATATTCTGGTGGGTGATGATGGAATCTTGAAAGATAAACAGCTGAGACAAAAAGAACTTTTTTTGAAACAGCAACATCTACACCAACAGGGACATTTGCGCCAACAACTGCAACAACAGCGGTTGCAACAGCAACTTCAGCAACAGCAGTTACAACAACAATTACAACAACAGCAGTTACAGCAGCAACAACAACTGCAACAACAACAGCAACAATTGCAACAAAAGTTTCAACAATTAAGACCACAACGACTTCAGCAACATGCAATAACGTTGCAGCAGCAGCAACATTCTCAACAAATTATGAATCAAACAAGATTTCAAAGGTCTCTAAATGAATCACAACCATTGCCCCAGCAACTCATTGAAAATGTAGACAATGTTCGCTTCAGACAACCTCTAGGTACTCAGCAGCCAGTGCGAATGCATCAACAAATTCCCACACATCCCCGATTTCATCCTTCTCCACCCACAGTTGCAGCACCCCCTCCCCATCCTAGACTGGCTCAGTTTGTTCCAGCACACACAAGAATGGTGGTACATTCTGACTCTGTGAGACAATCAGTGCCTGTGCTGCAACCAATTCAGGTTTTATTTATTTATTTTTTTGTACAATGACTTTTCTTAGAAGTATTCAAATATAATTTGTTTTTTTCTTAGTTATATTTCTTTTTCAACATACAAAATTTTTATTTTAACATGTTATTTTTAAATTTATAGCAATAAAATTAATATTATAAAACATTTTTTAATTTATTTAATAAACTAAATAATAAATTACAATTTGTTATTTGAAAAATAGATAAATTGAAATTAATAAATTCTATAGCAGAAGAATTTAATGAAAATTATATATATATATATAACGGAAATTATTGAGTTGTTTTCGCTTCGCTTCACATGGCCAAACCATCGTAAATGATGACGACGACATGCATCCTTCAACGTGCACAGTCCCGATCGGTTCAGGATCTCGGTGGTATGGATATGGTCCCTTAGGTTAACATGCTGCATCCAACGAATCATCTTCATGTCAGTTTGATGAAGCTGCTGTTCGAGTTTTGTTGTCATCGGCCACGTCTCTGCACCATACATCAGATCAGAACGTATAGCTGTGTTATATAGCTATGAGCGCAGCGGTATCAGTACCGGTATCAGTACGCCGCATCAGTACCGAGGCAAGGAGGTGCCATCTGCCACACGCCGCACGTATGCGTCCACGAACAGCGGCATCAGCTGTTCCAGTACAATCAAGCACATCTCCCAATTACTGAAATGAAGTAACAGTTTCGATCCCGGTAATCGTATCATCATCTGGATCCCGTTGTCGCGGGTTGATGCAGGCGGGGCATACGAAATCAGTCACTTTCCTCAGTGAGCCGGTAATTTTCGAGCATCGTCTGTGACACCACTGCTGACATCGTAGGCATTTGATTGAGTTGCTTCCAACTCCAGCCCCACACACCGAACATGGCCAATGACCAGTGACCACCGGCTCAGCGGTACCACCGGTGATCATAGTTTTTGTTTTGTCAAGGTTCGGCGAGCTGGGTATTCCAGACCTCAAACTTTCTGGATGCCTCTTGTTCCGAGGCCGCCGTCAGGACGATATCATCTGCATATATCACATTCCATATGTTATATGAGCATATCGGTTTGGTTGTTTCTTCCATCAACGTCATAAAGAGCAGCGGGCTGAGTATTGATCCCTGATGGACGCCGACGTTAATGCCAAATTCATTCGTGTTACCGGCTGTTGTGCTGACCAGAGTTTTTGTGTTACAGTATGTTGCCATAACCAGCCAAACCAGATATTCGGGAACAAGTTGTCTACGTAGATTCCACCTGATTGCTACACGAGGCACTCTGTCAAAAGCCTTCTCCAAGTCCACAAAGACATGGAACAGTCTCTTTTGCTTTGCCAAGTATTTTTCCTGAAGTTGACGAATGATATAGATAGCATCAATGGTGGATCTCCCTGCCAAGAAGTCGTACTGGTAACCACCTATTGAAACACCTGACAACAGTCTTTTCTCAATGACTTTCAATAACTTTCAGAGGCTGTTCCAGAAGACGTATGCCCTGATATGAGGAGCATTTCAGTGGGTCTCCTTTTCCTTTATATATTGGCACAGTTGTGCTACTGTTTCATTCCACTAGTAGTATCGATTTACTTCACATCTCCCAACAGATGTATTAAGAGGGCTCAAATAAAATAAAAATATAAAGCAAAAATTAAATAAAATATATAATAACTCGAATAATTATAAAATATTAAATGCGAAGTTACATAAAGTGTAAGTTAAGCTATATGTGAGAGCGCTAGACTCCAATGAAAAGAACATGCTTAAATGTGTTAATGATACAATTGAAATATTTTGAAATAATGAAACTTATGAATTAAAATTTTAAATTGATTCAAAATTGCTTTCATTGCAGCAGATTCGTGATCCTTACTGCCAGGAGGCAGCAACAGTAGGAGCACAGATAATGCAACAGCAGCCACAGGTGATCATCAGACAGGAACCCTCTTACAACAGCATGGCACCACCCCTATTGCAGCAACAACAATCTTCATCTTCACACCAGTACACTCCAAGACCGATGATTCAACCTATTATTCAACAACAGCCTCCGCAGCATCTACAAACAATCATACATCAGCAACATTCGCAACCTCTGTTCATCAAACCGCAGTTTCTTGAGTCTCAGCAACAAGCCAACTGTCTCCAGCAACAACAAGTGGTGGAAATGGTCGGACAACCCATAGAAACTGTTGTCTCAAGAAATACAAACAAGAACATTAAAATTAATAATACAAGGTCGTTAATCATTTGTTTCCTATATCTTGGTTGTGTTAATTGTGATATTCAAATTCATGGACAGCTGTGATTAAAAATTATGAAGAATGTTGGTTGTGCTTATTTTGCATGATTACAGGATGAAATTATTTTATAAAACACATTCAACCACAACACCAAACAACTGTACACAAACGTTTTTCAGGTCTGGCTATAATCTTAGATAATTTATTTGTCTTAGATTATTTATTAATTTATTTTGAAAAATGAAACTTTTTCTTTTATAACTATTTGCTTGAAAGCAAATAAGGTCAGCATCGCTCATATTTTTATTCATCATTTAACTTAAAATTTTTTTGTATTCTTTCTTCCCAGAGAAACCAACAAATCAAATGTGCAGCGAAAGCAGCAGGAACTTGTTAAGCCACAAATTGATGAAGTGCAAGATGTTCATGTGAAATCTGAATACGAACTAGAACATGAACGCAAGCTGGCTGAGAGAGCTAAACGATTCCTTCAACCATTTAAAAAACTTAACATTCCAACATTACTAGCAGAGGCTACTGCAAAGGTTTCAACAGTGAAATCAACACCTAAGCGACAACTACCAACAACCACCGCTGCACAATCGGAACCAGAGAGTCCAAATATTTTAAGCAAAAAAGCAAAGCTGTCTAATAGGAGAGTCATAAGCAAAGAAGCTATACAATCTCAACTGACTGCTAATAGTGATCAAGTAACCGTTTTTAAAATCCTTACCAATTTAATGTTTTTTTTTCTGGTTATTTTGCTTCTCGTTATTTCATCTGTTATATTGATTGAATAGGTCGTGGTGTGTGATGATGATTTAAACAAGGCTCTAGAACAACAGAAGTTGCTAAGGGAAAGGATAATGAAGAAGAAGGAAGAACGAAGACAACAGCAAGCTGTTAGCAGGATACAATCGTCATCATTCATTAGCGGTTATTTGTTGTTGTATGGGAGATGTGGTCTGTTGTTGTTGCATGGAAGATGTGGTTTGTTGTTGTTGCATGCAAGATGTATTTTGCTGTTGTTGCATAGTTTGCTTATGAGCTTGCCTGTAAATAATTTGATGGCTTCAAAGAAATTTAACTAAAAGTTTGCGTAATTGAAAATACTAATTTTTTCTCTTAATTTTGGTCCGTTTATAACAAACAATTTATGGAATCAATTTTTATATTCAATTTCTTTTGCAGGTTCCCTGAAGGTTCCTTCTGATCAATCAACATCTAGTACATCTCCAACAAAATCAACAACTCTAACTTCTAATAAAAATACAAATCCTATACTTGCGAGTTGCGGCATCAGTGGCATCATCAACCCTCCCAAGTCAACTAAACCGCTCACCAAACTAATCATCACCAAGTCTCAGTACAAAGCTCTGCTGGCTCAAATGAAGCAAAAAGGACTTCCTATGCCAGAGAATTTTCTTAAGAAAAAAGACCTTCTTGTAAAAGCCCAAATAAAGAAGAAAGCAACGGATGCTGCCGTGACAACTTCAAGTGGTGTTGGTGGATCTAGGATCATTATTGATAGCAGATCAGTTGTGAAAGATGCCCATGATGCAACCTCTGATATTCCAGCAACCTACACAACCCAAATTCGGAGACCAGCAACAGAGTTTTCTCAGCAATCAACAACTTCTCACCAGCAACAGATTAGCCCCAAAAAACAGCACTTTGGCTTCAATTCTTTTTCTCCTCATCCACGGTTTTTAACGTCAATACGTAATTTTTCCACACATGAGAACAAAGACATCAACGTCCAAAATAAATTTAACACGGCTCCAAATTCTACCAACGGGACCTCGACTGACGGTGGTAACACAGTTCGTGTAACAAATTTGGACGAATGTGTAAAATATTCACAACTGAAGTGCATAGCTGAAGCGATAGGACCTGTCCAGGTACTCACCCATCCTTTCTTCATTCTTGCTTCTTTATTTCCTATGTTTTATATTAAA